GGAGATGGTCACTGATGCTTAGCCCAGTGAGCTGTTTGTTTATGAGCACAACTTGGAGGCTAGACTAAGGTTCCCATTGAGCAAGGGGTTCGCCGAGGTGCTAAACTAGTACAGGGTGTTGCCAGTGCAGCTGATGCCGAACTCCTTTAGATTTTTGCTCGACCTTATGTCCTATTGTGCCGTCCGTGATATCGAACTAATCATGGGGATGGTGAGCTTTATGCTCTAACTGAAATACCACCAGCAGGGGTACTATTACTTCTCCACCTGGCAGAATAATTGGTCGTTGGTCAGGGCCCCTTCTTCTGTGAAGCATTGGAAGGAATCATTCTTCTTTGTGCGAATCCTTGGGGGTCTCCCTTTTCCTGCCGAGCTGAGGGGGCCGAGGACGACTCTGCCGCAGCCCCCATGGTCGGCGCTTACTTGGGAAGAGAGGTCGGCCCTGAGCATGATCCACGAAATCGACATTATCGCGTACACATGCTCAGAGATGTTGATCCTCACCGGGCTGATGTAAAGGGTGGCCAGTTTGTTCATGGGCCGGGCCGGGTCGGGCTTTTACTCTTCATTAATGGAAATTTGTTAGGCCTGAGCCTGAGCTCGGCCCGACCAATGGGCCTACAATTTGGGCCCAAAGCTCGAGCTGAGCTCGCTGGAGCTGAGTTCACGGTGACTGTGAGCTGCGACCTGCGATTTTAGCAGTGATCAGTTCGCGTCTGAGAGAGAGAGAGAGAGAGAGAGAGAGATAACTCACCGCCGCCGTCGGTGCCTATATTCACCGCCTCGCCGTCGTCAGTGTCTGAGATTTGAAAGAGAAGTGAGATTTGAGAAGAGGAACGAGAGAGAAGAAATAGAGAGAGAGAGAGAGAAGAGGACTCATCGCCGAAGTTGTTAAGCCAGTGAATGTTCACCACCTCGCCGGTTGTGTGGCTGCCTGAGAGTGTGAGGACTAAGGACTGAGAACTGTGGAGGATCTGGAGAAGAGAGGTTCGGCTGGAAAAAGAGGTGAAAGAAAGAAGGGTATTCGACTAGGGTTTTTAACTTTAACTATAGGTCGGGCCGGGCCGGTCTCGGACCGAGCTATTTTGGCAAATCCCGAGCACGGATTGAATTTATTGCGGGCCGGGCTTTTTGGCCTGAGGTTAAGCCTGCGGGCCCATTTGTGTGTTCAAGCCCGTCCGGGGGCCGGGCTGGCTCGTCGGGCCACCCGGCCCATGAACAAGTCTAATCTTGGGTATCCTACGTTGTTGGTGTGAGCATGGCCAGCGTGGAAGAAATTGTTCATCGGATAAAGGCGCTCCGACAAAGGCAGGAACGGGCCAGTGTGCAACCGGAGGCTCATCCTGAGGCAGAAGAGCGGCCACGGTCTGAGGACAGGGTGGCTCGTCGGCGAAGAAGAGTTTGACAATGAGAGATTGAGGAGGACGACGTTGTCGTGGTTAACCCCAAAGGGGTCCGTCGTCCCGCTGGTGCATCGGCAACTGAGGCAGGAAGCAGCTCGGGTCTACACGTGCCGAGGTGGTTGGTTCGCGTAGACAATAATCTAGAGAAGCCTGGGTTCCCGAGCAGTTACTGTGAGGAATCATGATAATGTCCACATCTCGGGAATCGGTCGTAGTCGGTAGTGGAGCCTTGGAGTGTGTGCTGCTATGGTCTGCTACCCAGGTAAATCCTCTTCTTCTTATTCCTTGTGTTTTGCACGGTATACTTATCATATTCGTCTGCAGAATGCTTATGCGGTGGTTGCGTTGGTTGATCGTCCCCAAGATGTTCGATCATCATACGAGCAGGAACACTCTGAGTATCTACGGCAGAAGGCCTAGTTGGCCGAGCTCCAAGCTGCTAGGGAGCGGTTGACCGTGCTGGAGAGGGAGGTGGCTGAGCTAAAAGAGCAGCTGGCTGAGCAGGCTAGTCTTGTCCAGGAGCTGAAGGGGAGACCGCCGAGCATAAGGCTGAGTGGAACAAGTTGAGGCAGGAGGTCGCTGATGAAGCCATCAATGAGTACAAGGCATCGGAGGAGATGCAACTACATATGGACGAGTATGTCGAGGCTTCCTTCGCGGTTGGGTTCCATCTTTTTCGACGAAGGATACTTCACCATCACGCGGAGTTGGCCATTGAGTCGCAAGGCCGGGATGTCTTTGATCCAAATTCTCCGCAAGGGTCTGTCGAGGGAGTTGAAGATGAGGCCGAAGTTGTTGTTGGTGCTGCTGATTCTGTCGCCGAGGATTGATCAGTGGCCTCCTTTGTTTATTATTTTCTGTGTTTTCTTTTTTTTTGGGGGCTTGGTATGCCGAGCCTTTAAACGATGTAATGAACAGTTTAGTTAAATTTTAAAGCTTCTTTATCTGATAACGTGTTGCTATACTTGTGCCTCTTTTTCCATCCGAAGCCCATCTGGCCGAGCTGTTGTGTGTGCCGGGCTGGGCTGTCTCTTGTGTGATTCTATTGGTCGGAGTGTGGCTAGTTGTGCCATTGCGTGGGCCGAGGTCGGTTGTGCCTTGGGCGGCCTCTTTGCACTTCACGATTTTAGTTCGTCAACCGAGGTATAGTCGACCGAGGTATGGTTCGTCGAGGCATGGCCGGCCGGGCTATGCCTCGGCGTCCCCAGTCTTGTACTGACCGAGGTATCGTTGACCGAGGTGTAGCCGGTCGGGCTATGCCTTGGTGCCCCCCATCTTGTACTGACCGAGGTGTCATTG